AAATCTTGATGAGTCAAAGTATAAAATCATTTCCAATAATCCATCAGTAGATTGATAATTCTTGTACCATTTGAGTACAACGGCTATACCCTGTAATTTCTCCACATTAGATTGTTTATTCAATATTTTACCCAGTGAAACAGTATTCTGTACTGGATGATATTTCGAACAGAATTTATTGTTCATATTCATACCAGAAGTTTGCATTGTTTTCCACCATTACACAGTAGAATGTTTTCCAGTCTTTAGTTGTTGAAGAATAAAAACTAGGGTGAAACCACTTCACGTTAATCAGCACAACTTCAGAGTAATAACTCTTAAAGGTATAAGCCAAGTAGTTCATTACTGAATCATGTTTTGATGTATGCGGACAAAGATTTGTAATCATAAAATCGATCAAGTGATGCTTTTCTTGTTTGTAGGGCGAAAAGGTACGCACTAACTAGTGACTAATTGGCAACCGATGTGGCTACCTCACCCTCACTGTTCAACACTGGCTGAAGTCTATCGAACAAATTTTGCAATGTGGTCGCTAAGCAAATTGCTGCATTATTACGAGTCAGTGCATTTTGAAATTAGATGTCAGGAGTCACTCAGGAAGGGTCTTTGGGCCTAGGTTTCTTGCTTGTTGGTACTCATAAACATGGTCTGTCAGCAGAGTCACGTGACTCAGCTTAGTGGCCATGCTGAAAGCTTGGCCAGTGGACTTAGGTCAGTATTGACCACTTGTGACCCCGACAGCTACGTAAACTATAAGGTTCAATGTGTATTTACAGTTCACCAGCTCCTAGGTATTTAAGCGTGTAGACCGTGCAAATTTGTTTTGATCAAAACAGTTTTAGTAGTTGTTTTTCAATCGTTAGTTTCGACAGACTTATTTATCCTAAAGTGGTTCCTCTCACGATCTATATCAGTTGAAGAGCTACTAAAAATGTATGAACATAGGTCATTTCTTTTGTTCTATTCCCGGACTACTCAGCAATCCTGACATGTGACTGACTAAAAGAGGGATCGTTATGATTCTTAGGAAAAACAATGTATTCGATTTCACAACTTTAATTCATGACAACAACGATAAGGATCATCATTTATAAACAAACAAAGGATGATTTCACTGAGAAACGTTTAGTACCTATGTTCTATTGTACAGCCAATAAAAAAGTAACAGTAAAAGGAATGAAGTCACTGAGCAAAACAATCTGTGCTAAAAGTGTACAAATCATTTTCGCATTTCTTCAGTTGATTCGGTGGTGCGCAGAAAACAAGTTGACACATTGATCCTCATCAGTGTCTGTCTACAAGTTCATTTGCACCAGTGGAGTCGACTATGTCGGCGGGTACTATGCGCTCACTTCTCAAACATACTAACGAACACTTCTTACCTTGACTTCTTAAAAATGAAAAAAAAGATTATCTGCTGCTCTATCGTCTAGAATTTGGTAAGTTCATGAAACTTACTTTCTTCCTCTACACAGTTCAACGGAACCATTCAAAAAGTGTAATCATAGAACATTCGCATGCAACCGAAGCACTTGCAATTAGCAGGTTTCACCTTCAACAATTCATTCAAAACAGTTAGTTTCTTTACGGTAGCCTTAAAATTGCTACACTTTAATTTTTTTTTCTTATCTACCTCGTAACTTTCCAGGGGAAGAGACAAATTTATTATCAGTTAATAATCCGTCTTATTTTGTTTTTCTTTTTATTCCCTAACTGTACCTATCAACATACGATTATTCCGGTTGGAATGAAGTGTACAGTCTAGAATAGCTCCGAACTAACTAAACGTAGGTGACTGTGCCCTTTCTGTATAGTGCACTGAGATTTCTTGAGTTACGCCTAGCCAAATATATCCCAGTGATAACAGAACACAGTTGATATGGTTGTATACCGGTTATATATATATATATATATATGTGAAATCTATGGTACTGTTTAATTATTATACAATATAAATCTGAAAGGTTCATCAACAATGCCGCCTTAGCACTATACAGTTAACAATAATTTCTTTGATTCAAAATATCAACCTAAATGATAAAAAGGGATCAATAAGTGATGAAGATCACATATTCACAACAAATTGATAATATTCCCAACGAAATGGGATCAAAATTCTGTCGACAAGAATCAAATTAAACAATAAATATTTCAAGCAGATAGTCAGAGGACAAGAAGTCACGCCACAATTCAACCTTCAATAGAGTAAAAACGAAATGTCGGGAACACTACTCTATGCTGTCAACAGTCCCCCCCCCTTCATCACACAATACAAAGGGGTGGAGCATTTTGGCTATGTCTCAATTAAAACAAAGACAAATAGTGAGTGTAAAGTCGAAGATAGTCAAATGACAAAATAACATTACATCTATCAAGGTTAAAGTGTAATATCTACAGACAGGGGGAAAATATTCAAATGAATATCAATACCGTCAAATAAAGTGCTCAGCAGGGATTTTCAAATCATTTATTCCGTTACATCAACCTTCCAAAACTTTTCAGCATTTGATCCATTTTACTTGACACTCTTACACTCAATTACTAAACTTATCTTCGGTGTTCGATTGGATCTAGGTTTTCGATATAAATTCTTCTAGAACTTTCTTCCTTTTGTATCTCTTTCAGGTAGTATTCATCACAGACTGAAATCAGTTATAGAACCATTGAACACCTGGGAACACTGGACAGCTGTTACGTCTCAAAATGGGACTACTCAGCACTATGCCCCCACGACCCCACAAAGAATCAAGTCCAGGAACTTCAGGTTTCACAACGAACACGTTAGCTATCCAGGGTTGGAGTTCAATGGTTTACACTTTCTTACTTCTGTAAATTCTCGATATAACTTCAAGGCAATAATCTCAAAGTTCTAACGCATCTACCTTCCAGTTTCGATTTCTGTTCTGACTCACCACTTTGTTGTCAAGCTCTACCATTCATCAGTTATCTTTTATTATTAAATATAAGTGTATTCTGTGTACTTGCCGAGTTGTCAGCTCACTTTTTTCTCCCCCTCCTTTCCCTTCCAAATTCTCATTGCTACCACCAAACTTACACTTCTCTAGGCGCCCCCCTACAACAACGTACCTACCTACAGGTTAGACGAAAACGTGTCAACCGCTAGTCGTTAAAGTTATAATAAGAACCCGCAACCTGTAAAATTGACCAGTTGAAATTGAAACGAGTACCAATTAAAACAGTCTCAGGTTTATGCTGTTAGCAAAGTTCATCTTCAGCCAAACGCCGATCCATACACAAATACTTTATTTCGCAGAATTTATCTGATTAATTTTCTAAAAGTATTTTGACCAACGTAGAAGTAACAAGTAGTACAGGATAATTCAAGCCCATTTTTATTCTTCTGAGCATTCTTCTCAACTGTTTACAACCTAAATATAATACCAAAACTTACGCACGCATAGCAAGAATTGGATATACTTTGAGCAAATTGACAAGATCAACCGGTAAAAAAGATAACCCAATGGATGAAAGTCGAGGAGATTATTAGAAATATGAAAGGAAAACTGAATATTTACAGGATTTTTAAGTGGATATTCTTAAAGTCGAAAATTGAGAAGTGAATAGAAAATAATTATCATAAATTGCGTAACTTCAAAATGTTTTGAATCTACAAGAGCTTGAAGAGTGAAGTGAGTGAGCAAGTACCTCAGTGGTCTGGTGGATAACGCATTGGCATATGAAGTGTTGGGTTAGCACTTGGAACAACAACGCTGACTGTAGTGTAGGTGGTTCCAGCTGATAAGTCTCAAATTAGACGAAACTAGCGTCCTAGATTCAGATAAACTACAAGGTAAGAGTTCAGATGAAGTATTGAGCTTTGAAACAGAAAAAAATTTTCATACGTACATATTTCCATTTATGAACCTAGATGGCAAAAGAAGAAACCAATGGAGCAAAAATAACATGATGCTATTTTATTTCACAAAAAGTATATTCACTTTCACCTATCACACTATATCTGTATGTTTTAGGTTGTAAGCAACTGATAAGAAATCAGTGAGATCATATGGTGCTGAGTTCAATCCTTAACCGGGTCATGAGTCCGTACTGCTGAGGAGTCCCATACTAGGACGAAACAGTTGTCCAGTGCTCCCAAGTTTTCAATGATTTTTCAACTGATGTCAGTCCGTGATGAATACTATCTCAAAATTGAAATCCCCATTCATCTTAAAAATACAATAAGTCAATGTATCATTATCTAAGCTTATTTGTTAGTCAAATATTGCTAAGTATGTAATTAAGTATCCAAGATGGCTAAATTGGATCAATAACAATGAAGCAAAAACGATCAATAATAAAAATCGATTTTGTTGATATTATATGCATATAGATATTCATTTCATCTTGTAAATAAGGGAAGTATAAGTATAAAAGTCACATGTTTCTTAAGTATAAAAGTAATTAAAAATATTTTTTGGCTTCATACAATTCAATTTTATCATCTAGTTGAATTTGATTTTAACTATTGAATTAGTAAAGTGTATACACACTACTTACAGATGAGACCTCATTTACCTCGATGCATAGAATTAGTCTACTATGATCAAGTGTGAAAAACTAGATGTTTTTCAACTGTTTTCAAATATGCTTTTCTTGATTTCAATGCTGTTCATCAGAATTCGATAAACTTCAGTGATTCATTGCGTTAATGTACAATCAGGTGTTATTATTCATATGAATAAGTCTACAGATATACACATTAGTAGGCAGGGAATAGATGATCTTTGTGTAATGTTTAATAGAGAAGCGTGGATTATTGGTGGGGGGTAATAATTTGACTCACTAATGTACACAAGTAATATACACACAAATTGACGTTAGCCAGTAAAATTCAATGGTATACTCATTGTGAAAACATGCTAGACATGTATATAAGTCAAAAATTACTCTGGTTCAACTAACCATCTTGGAGTATTGTTATTATCATTATTATTGGTATCATCGTTGTTGTTGTTTTTTCTCATAAGGAAAGATTACTAATGATAAAAATTCGTGTGGCACTGCCAACATACAGTTGTGTAGAACAGTTCACAATTGCTCTATTTAATTTCAAAGGACCAGTGAAAAGTATTACCTATGATAGTCTCATCTCAAAATTACGTGATTTTACACGAACAAAAAAAGGAAAATTTTATGTTTCATGGCATGGTGAGTGACTTTCTGCATACGCAATCTCAATATTATTATTATTATTATTATTATTATTATTATTATTATTAGTAGTAGTAGTAGTAGTAGTAGTAGTAGTAGTAGTATTGGGTTACTTCCTGTTGACTCCTTGTTGTTTAGGTACGTAAGTGTTATGGAAGCAGTTGAATAAATATTGAAAGTTAATGAACATTGAACAGCTGACCCCACTAAAAAAAGGCCAGTTTTTAAAATCTCAGCAGACTTTAGGTCGTTAGTGTGTAACTCACATGATCTGAAGTGATCAGTTTAATACCGGATTTCGTGAAAGCTTATTAGATAAATAACTAAATTGTACATACCGGTAAATTGAATAGTAAACCAAAACCAATTGTTGATTATGTTCATTCGGATCAACTTCTTAAGGCTTCTATGAAAAGTAGGAGCTGTAATTTTGACTAGTCGTATACTAGTCAAAGTCAAGGTGATAAGATACACTTTGGATCCACTGAGGTTACGAAATGTAGATTATTTACTTACGACAAGATAATTTTAAACCTGTTGTCTGCAAACGGATAGTAGGTAACGAAAAATATGGGTGACCAAGCCACACTTTTGGGAGGAATCTCAGAAAAATCCAGTGGCTAGTTGTGAATTAGAGCGTAAGCTATATAGAGGGAGTCCAGGAATCCACACTATCAAAGTCTACAGTTTTAACTCTGAAGAGCAAACTGAAGGGAGTTTGAAAACATAGATCAACAAATGTCGAATTAATAACCAAACGTTGGCACATTCATGATACTGTCTGAATATTCTTGTTAATGTCTTAGGCGTATCTGACTAATCCTTCACTGCTAAAGTCTTGTGAACCTTCATGAATTGTCTGTCTACTAGCTACCATTATCCAACATTTGACGACTAGTTTTTTCTTTTGCTACAAATGGTTTTCATGAGTGATCAAGATCTTTGAATCCACTAGGTTCCTTAAACCCTAGCATCAACTTTCCAATTGGTTTATTGTCCAGTGCTAATTGGTAACATGCTGCGAGATTAGAGTCTTCAAAGTTCTCACAAAACTCTTGACTGATGGGGCAAACCAAATCAGGACAAGTACTCAGTGACGGTATTGGACGAATGTTATGCTAAATTTTGAATCGACAGTAGTAGGGAAACGTGAACCATTAGATCCTGACCAGTGACTCAATCTTTATGTGCTTGACGTGGAGCCTGAAGGTTCTGAGTTTGACCTCTAGTGAGGTCATGGGTGCGCATTGCTGAGGAATCCCGTACTAGGACGAAACCACTATCCAGCGCTTCCAGGTTTCCAACGGTTCTCCAACTGATGTCAGTTCGTGATGAAAACCAACTTCAAATCAATAAGATCCCTTTGTGCCTATCTGCAAACTGAATCTATTTTTGTCTATCCTAATAAGTTTTTCATTGTTTATAAAGAAAAGTGCACCTTTGTTGCGTATTTTCAGCAATGGAAATTGGTTATGAGTTTTTCGTCAACAGGCGTACAAGTCTATTGGACAGTGTACAAAACTAACCTAGCAGACTAGTCTACAGAATAACTGTGATACTTGTAAGTTGTCGACACGAAAACATGCAATCAGTTGAGTTGAAGATCTTTAATAGGTCGATGACTAGTAGCTAAAAGCATTTTATTTTGCCTCTGGGATTCGTGAATAAACGGCTGTCAACCTTCTAAACAAATCCCATCAATTAATCAATATTTGTTCATAAGTTCTTATTGAATAATATCCAGTCAAAGTATTGTCGAAAACAATCTCCTGTTACACTCTTTCTCTCTAACGACATACTGATTCAGGAAACGAATGACCGATTAACTGAGTGAGTAGAAGAGTGAATGAGTGGGTTAGTTAGTTAGTTCGTCAGTTAATTAGTTATATAATCAGTTAGTTAGTCAGTAATTAATTAGTTAGTTGGTTATTTATTTAGTTAGTTAGTTAATGGGTGAGTGAGTGGGTGTGTGAGTGAGTGAGTGTGAATTTGGACCGCGGTCCGAATTCTCATTTCACCTTTAATCATCACTCAGTATCAATACTAATCTGCCAGACGACGACTACCTCAGATATTCAAAATGACACCAAAAGTGACAGTGACCTGATAGGCTACCCTTTGGCGTGTGAACCGTTTGGCCATAGGTTAAGGTCTAAGTAGGAACAACATCTCTCACCTGCTTACGTACATACGTCAGTCATACACACCAATCAGAGTATGAACTGCAGGTACAGGTCTGGAGTATTATTAACTGAAAAAAGATGAACACAGTCAATCTATACAAAATCACATAGGATGGTGATAGAGACTGTCTAAGTAGACAGAAAGACGTGGTTTCATATATTGCATGGGTTAAAGTTGAATAAGTAAAGTCTATTGGTTATTCCAACCTCGCCTGGTTAACTAGTTCGCTAGTTACTAGCCGGTCCTAAGCCCGGATAAAGAAGGAAGGTTGGGCATAGGACAAGCAACCCAACCCCGAAAAACCGATCCAATCCCCAAAGAAACTTCAAAGCACAGACAAAATATGAAAAATAAAAACAAACTTATTCCTCGCTGGAATCAAGGAGACGAAATGACACCGGTTGGTGAAAGCCTGCCTTAGGGAAGCCAATTGGCCAATGTACCTTCTCTTCTCACAATAAAAGCGAAAGTAAAGATGGGGACATGGAATGTCCGCACCATGTTTGAACCTAACAAGACTGACGAGATGAGAAGGCATGGCACGGAAGTGCTAGGAATCTGCGAAAGCAGATGGAATGGAAGTGGACTGTCCAAACTGTCAACTGGAGAGTCCATAATCTACTCATTTGTTGTCACCCAGACGACAACCACGAGCACATTGAGTTTTCGAGTGGCTTTCATGATGTCCCGGAGAGCATCGAAGGTTTTCATGCAGTGGGAACCAATCTCCTCCGTCAGAATGATAACAGCGAGATTCAACTCAAAATGAAAGGAAATCACAATTATTCAGGGCTACGCTATGCACCCACAAATAATGCAGATGAAGAGAAGGAGGAGGAATTCTACAGACAACTATAATCAGTGCTAGATGAGGTCCCACTTCAGATGGCGACATTGAAATCCATTCCAATGGATGGGATGACATGAACGCTAAACTGGGATCAGACAACACAGGAAGAGGAAGAGAACTAATCACTGGTCGAGAAGCATTCGGTGAGATGAACGAGGATGGAGAATCGTTCGTAGACTACTGCGCATTTAATGATTTGGTGATTGAAGGCTCTATGTACAAGCACAAGGATATTCACAAAGCGACATGGAATTGATTTCACCAGATGCACACACTAAAAATCAGATCGACTTCATCTCAATGTGAAGAAAGTGGAGATGCAGCCTAATGGACACAAGATCAGATGAAGAAGGGGAGCAAATGTAGGTTCACACCACTATCTAGTGCAAGGAACCTTCTTTCAAAACCAAGTTGAAAGCCTTCAAGGAAGTTGGTGATAGACCACAGTTCAAGTTGAACACCCGAAACAGAAAATGAACTGAAGGACGAAACTACAAAAGACATCTTCACGTCAGTAAGTCATCATAGTAAAATAGGAGATATCGAGCAACATCCCTGAAGAAACCTGTGTGGAAGAACACTCGAACTCTTTGAAAGAGATGTGGAGAGAAACCTGAATAACCGTTTTAGGAAGGAAGAAGATAAGGAATGGATCTCGATGGACACATACAAGCTGATCGAGTAGAGAGAGGAGGATGGTGAAGCAGAAGATGAACCAGTGCACGAATACACAACGAAAAGAGAAACTGAGTACAATGTAGAAAAAACATTACGCAGGACAAAGAAGTGAAGAAGAGTGCACGCAAAGACAAAAGACACTTCCACGACACATTGGCAGGTGAAGCAGAACAGGCTGCAGCTAGGAGAGACAGAGACATGATAACATTATATCAAATAACGAGGAAACTATCTGGGAAGAGATAAACGCAGATGAAACCAATAAAAGATGATGACGGAAATTTAATTACGAAAGAAGAGAAACAGAGGAAACGATGGGCTGACCAGAAATACCACCTGCAGTCCAGCCAGAGAACTACAAGTCGACACAAGCTCTCCAACACAACCGAATTCCTGAACACCATAAAGCTACCGAAGTGCGGGAAAGCAGCAGGACCAGATGGAATCCCACCAGAAGCACTGAGAACAGACAAAGGAACAACATGCGATATGCTCACACCACTATTGTAGAGTGTCTGGGAGGAAGGAAAGGTACCTGCTGATTGATTGGAAGAAGTGCTACCTTGTGAAACTCCCGAAGAAGGACGACCTGAATGTTTGCAAGAACTGGCACGGAATCATGCTCCTGTCCCTGCCCACCCCAAGCAAAATATTATGCTGCATCATCCTGGAGAGACAAAAGGATGTGCTGGATTCAAAACTACGACCGGAACAGGCTGGCTGGGTGGCTGACTGGCTGGATTCAGGAAGTATAAATCATGTGTGGACGAAATGGCATCACTACGCTGTGCATCATCATAGAACAGAGTATAGAATGGTAGCCAAGTCAACTCGCTACCTCAACTTCATCGACTTTGAGAAGACCGGCCTTCGACAGCGTAGACCGACAAGTCATTTGGCAGGCAGCTGCTCCAATACCACGTTCTATTGCCACAAACCTCTATCAACCTCATTCAACAACTATATGACGACACGACATGCCAAGTGATTCACAATGGGAAGCTCAGTGATGCCTTTGAAGTGAAGACAGGAAGTAGTAAGAGAAGCCTGTCTACTATCACCGATGATTCTCCTGATTGTGTTCGACTGGATAATGGAATAAACCTTGATGAGTGAGAAGAGGGTGATACGCCAGCTGGACTGGTGGAAAGAGCCTTATAGGATTTTGATTTCGCCAATGATGACTTATGTCTAATGTCTTGCTGCACAAAGTCGAAGATCTACAGGCGAAAACTAACAAGTTGACAGAAGAGGCAGAGTAGGGCAGCGATGACGGGACGTCCAG